AAAACAAAACAAAAAAAACGTAAGGTCTTTCATACTTTATAGAAAATTCTTTGAGTATAAAATAAGGTACATGGTTTTCTAACTACTCCGTGAGATCAACCATCTGTTATCTGCTTTGCTCTTCCATAAATAAAGTATTCTTTATGTCATAAATATATTATGATAGGATTATATCCTGCCTAGGCATGCTGGGAGCTGGCAGAAAGAGCAGGGCAGCCTGAACTCTTCTTTCTCATGGAACTGAGAAAGGTAATTTTTGAGAGGAGGATTGAAGGTGAGGAGCAAGGGCACCGAGAATGATAAACTGCCTCTAGGTTAGCTGAAGTCTTATTTGAACGAGCAATTTAACCTCCCTAAGCATCAGTTTTAACTATTATACAGAGGGGTCATGAAATATACCTCACAAGCTTGTTGTATGGATTAAGTGAGGTAATATTTGTGAGAGCACTTTATTATTCTACAGAGTTTTGGAAATAGAAGACATATTTTGTATTTTTCTTCACGATCAGTTCAATAAGCAGATTTTCCTATCATAAATAGTTTGGACTTAGGGTAATACTAAGGTTAGTTTGTGATCTCAGACAAACCAGCTGTCTGTTAAAGAAGTTTTCTGCATCTGTTTCAGCTTCCACAATGTGGAACATTTGGTTGGTGATGTATCAGTTTGGTGACTAGCTGCCTCCCACCTTCTCAGAACAAAACAGGAGGAAGGGGAGGTTGAGGCTGGAGCATTGACCAGGTTGTGAATTTTGGAAAGAAATTTCTGCATTGGGAGGCATTTTGAAGTTGTAGAAATTACAGAAATACTTGTCGGTTTTGACCACACACAGAGGAGTCTGCTCCTCTGGGTTTCAGAGCCAGAGCAAAAGTGCCCTGAATATAAGCCCGAGGCCAGAAGGCCCCTGACGGCTGCAGCCAACTGCCCATGGTTTGGAAGAGGCTGTTCTTTAACCCCGTGGTGCACAGCACCACCTGCAATAGGAAGTGCTCCTTGCGTTGTTCCCACTACTGGGGACACCCTTTTATAATTAAGAGGTTCCTTTGGGGGCTAGGCTGGCTGGAGCTACAGGGACAGGTGTGGAATGGGAGTGTGTTGTTTTGTTTTGTAACCTTCGTGATCCTGTGACAGGGCGCGAGGATTGGACCGTGGCCTCCGGTGCTCTGAGCATGGTGCACACTGTGTTCTGAGCACTCATCAAGCTGGGTGCACTGTTGATGTACAGAAATGAACAGCCTTCTTTTCAAGTTCCTGCCTGTGCGGCTGGCCTGTTCCAGGCTAATGTGGGTCATTTGAGAGCTTTCCTCATCTCTCCTAGTGAATTGGACTCACTGGTCTACTTTTCTGAACCTTGGGGTAGGAAGGGCAAGATCATCAGTTAACATGAAAATAACCTGCTGCTAAGCCCGGGTTTCCTGTTCTGCTGGCTGCTTGCTGTCAGGAAGGATTTGCAGTGAGAGTGAGTTTGCTGCAGACAGGGCTGGTGTGCGGCGTGGACACGTCGCATCGTACATCATCCTGTGCTGTGCTTTCTCCTCCCTGATTCTGACTTCAGGAGGAGCCGGACAAACTGGCTGCTGGTGTTTTCTGTTTTCGCAGGCCTGGCTAGGCTTTTCAGATGTTACCTGGATCGTTTTTTAGTAAATGATGAAGAGTCAGTGGAGGGCAACTGGGAAGCGTTGACATGACGGTGAAGTAACTGGGTTCTAACATTGCCTTTGTCCTTCACTCGCTGCGTGACCTCCAATAGGTCAGTTGACCTTTACTTGTGAATTCCATTTGTGATTTTATCAAGCAGTTATTGTGCCACAAGCTACTGTGGGAACTCCGGAAATGTAACGGTGCTTGGGTCTGTGCCGTCATGAAGCTGACCATCTACTCAGGGGGTGTGCACAAAATCCACTCAGTGCTTTGAGAGGGAAGGGCTGTATGTCTTCTGTGGGTACACAAAGGAACAGCTCCTCTGCAGGCTTGGAAGGCTCCCTGGAAGAGGGGGTGTCTAAGTGAGACCTGAAGAATGAGTAGGAGTTGGCAAGATGCAGGTGAGAGAAACAGAAGCAAGTTCTTACTTTTATTTCTTATTCTAACATTCTAAAATTCCGCTCTTATTTTTTCTCAATTGGCTTCTCATCTTTGATAAAAGACAGATTCTTCCTGGTGCTTAGTAGTCCTTTCCGATGCTGTTTAGGCCTTTGTATGTGGGCTCTGAAGTATTACTTGAACTGAGGGCAAGGAATAGTTGAGGAAACAGAAGGAAGAACGTGGAGATGTAGCCTCCCTGGGGTTATTTGCTTTTGAATTAGTAGTATAGCCACAACATTGGGTTAAGCTTGGGTGGCACTGAAGGATTCCTGGGTATGTTGAAGAAGTCAGTCATCTGGAAAGTACTGCTTGTGTGTTCCGGGTGTCACTTTATTTTATTGTATTATTTTAAAAATTTTTTCTAGAGACAGTTTTGCTCTGTCACCCAGGCTGGAGCGCAGTGGTGTGTTCACAACTCACTGCAACCTTGAACTCCTGGGCTGAAGTGGTCTTCCTACCTCAGCCTGTTGAGTAGCTAGGACTACAGCCATGTGCCACCACTCCCAGCTAATTTTTTCAACAATATTTCGTAGAGATGGGGTCTCACTATGTTGCCCATGCTGGTCATGAACTCCTGGCATCAACTGATCCTTCCGCCTTGGGCTCCCAAAGTGCTGGGATTATAGGCATGAGCCACCATGCCCTGCCGGGTGTCACTTTAAAGTGGAGCTCAGTCGTGTGCCAATTAACGCTGTAAGTAGAGTTAATCTGCTAGAGTTTTCCGAATTGGTCCTGAAAGTGATTGGGAGGTGGCGCTGCGCTCCTCAGAGTCGCCTCCTTTCTCCCATCTTGGTGCCAGAGCTGCCCCATGTTCCTGGGTTCTTTTCTAAGGTTTTTATCCATGCTTGCACTTTGTTTGCATACCGTTTAACACATCCACATCCTGTGCCATAGGTCAAACTCAGCCAGTACCAGAGAGAAGCAGAACAGAGTAATGTGGCCCTTCAGAGAGAGGAGGACAGAGTGGAGCAGAAAGAGGCAGAAGTCGGAGAGCTGCAGAGGCGCTTGTTAGGGATGGAGACGGTAATGGTGGGGCTCTCGCTTCGTATTGCTGGACTCCTGGGCTGGAACGGGCCCAAGGATCGACTGAGATGGGTGTTGAGACTCTGCTTTTCCAAGCAGCTCCAGAAACAGCACACTGCAATGGGAAACTCTTTCTCTCAGCTAGCTTCAGCCTCCCCCTAACTAGAGTTGAATCCATTTCCACTTTAATCGGATTCTTATACAGATGCCCCTTTGGGGCCTTTGAAGACCATTGCTAAGAAGTCATGCAGCCGGCTTTCTTGGAGGTTGGCAGCCATAGCTGGCAGGTGGGCCTGCGTAATGCAGGCCAGGTTCTCCCTCTGGGCAGCTGGGTGAGGCTGGGAAATGTCTGTGTGCTGAGGGTGGAAGGGTCCTCCCTGACAGGGGAGGGTGTCCCACCAAACCGGCTTGTCTTGCTGCTCTTTGGCAGCTGTCCCAGGCCCGGTAGGGGCTGAGTCCCAGTCCTACTGCCCATCTCACCTCAAACACAGAAGCTGTTGCCATTTTCTCAACTGTGGGTTTTCTCTCTCTCTCGGTCCACCCAGGAGCATCAGGCCTTACTGGCCAAAGTCAGGGAAGGGGAGGTGGCCCTAGAGGAACTTCGGAGCAAGAACGCTGACTGCCAAGCAGAACAAGAAAAGTAAGGGCTCTTGTTGACTGTGAAATTGGGGTGCATGGAGGGGAGGGCGGGCCGTGCAGCCTGCAGCTCCTGCGGTGGCCAGATCTGGGGAGGAAGCGAGTGCTGATGTCAGATATTCCAGCTCTGACTCACAGTGTGTTTGCTCAGGGCGGAGCCCTGCCTGGGGAGATGCTATTTGGAAGGCGGCCATCTCCAGGGCGTTCAGTTTCCATGGGGTAATAACCTAAAGAGAAAAGACCTTTACAGTTGGAGAGCCAAGGTTCAGTGAAAGCTGGTAGAGCATCTGCCGCTGCGGCCCGTCATTCTGCAGATCGATACACTGGCTGTGTCATACCCCACTGTCCTCCCTGCCAAACCAGAAACTCACTCTAAACTACTGAGGGTAACATCAAATAACTTCCTCATGAGTTATGCTGATGCAAAATAGAATGAGCTGCTTTACGAGGAGATACCGAACTTGCTGTCACTTGAAGCGGCGCAGATAGAAACCTTGAACCAACTGTCAGCAGTGGCATCTGGGCCATCGCTGAGATCCTTCCTACGGCCAGAGATAGAGGGTTTTCCTAACTCTTTCTGATCAGAGGCTCCAGACCAGTGAAACCCACAGAGCAACGAGTGTGCCTTCTGGATTTTCAGAAATGTGGAAGTTCTTTATGCTGTTGGCAATTAATAAATAAGACCACAAATGGTAAATCAATGTTAATATCAGCATATTGGGTCTGATCTCCATTGTGTGAGTTGGACTTTTTTTTAGTTCAGCAAGACATTATCTGAAGGGCCTTCTAAGGGATTCCAAGATTAACAGACACGATCCTTTCAGGATGCTCAGTCTTCCGGAGGCATTTTCTCTCCTTTAGGATAACCCAGACTTGACTTCGTGGCATGGAAAATGCACACCTCTTATTGAAGCCTCCTTTGTGACTTGACTTCATATCAGAATTCCTTTAAATTGCTCAGCGCTCCGTCTTCCTCTCTGGTGGAGGTGCACTTGGGCAGACCTAGAGAAGGGAGGAGCAGGAGAAACAAAGAGGGCTAGATAATCCAAAGCCAAGGCTTGGGAATGCACGCGGCAGCTGGGCATCATAAATGCTGACTTTCCAAATGAGAGGAGACTGAGCACTGGGGCACTGGAGAACTGAGGGTGCAAACTTAGAATGTGAAGTTCAAGAAGAATGCAGAGTGGCTCTGACTGTGCTGTATCCCCCCTGTCCTGAGCACTGCCCGCTTTCTGGGACATTTCAACGTCCTCTGGCAGAATGGAGCAGTCACGGATCCTTTCAGGGGTCCAGACCCCTGGACACTCTCCCAAGTGGCCTGACAAAAGGAAAACTGCTCCTGTACACTTCTGACACCAAATGTGTGGTTTTTCCACACCAAGCACTTTTCCAGTTCGCAGTCGAAATCAACTGGGTGTCCTACAATTAAATTCAATTCTGAAGGCCTGGCGCGGTGGCTCACGCCTATAATCCTAGCACTCTGGGAGGCCTAGGCAGGTGGATCGCTCAAGGTCAGGAGTTCCACACCAGCCTGAGCAAGAGCGAGACCCCATCTCTACCAAAAATAGAAGGAAATGAACCGGACAACTAAAAATATATAGAAAAAATTAGCCAGGCATGGTGGCGCATGCCTGTAGTCCCAGCTACTCCGGAGGCTAAGGCAGTAGGATTGCTTGAGCCTTTGAGTTTGAGGTTGCTGTGAGCTAGACTGACGCCACGGCACTTGAGCATTGGCAACAGAGTGAGACTGTGTCTCAAAAAAAAAAAAAAAATTCAATTCTGAGATTACCCAGAGTTAGTGCAGGCCCCCCGGTTAAGGGCTCAGTCCCACGAGACTGCCCCCACTTCAGATGCCAGTCACAAGTCCAAGGGTACCCACACTTCTGTCCAATCCAACCTGGCATGAAACCGGGGTTCCCACGGTCCTCAGGTTTGATAATTTGCTATAGTGGCTCCTAGAACCCAGGGAAACGTTTTACTTACAATTACCGGTTTATTATAAAGGATAATATAAGGGATTCAAATGAACAGACTGATGAAGAGGTACATAGCGGGAGGTCTGGAAGAGTGTCAGCTTCTGTCCCCATAGAGTTGGGGCGTGCCACCCTCTCAGCATGTGCATGCATTCACCAACTTGGAAGCTCTCCACACGTTTTTGTTCAGGTTTTTTAGGAAGGTTCCATGACATAGGCATGAAAGATTAAATCACTGGCCACTGGTGAATCGCAACCTCCAGCCCCCTCACCCTTCCGCAGAGGTTGGGGTTGGGGAGCTGAAAGTGCCGACCCTTTAATCGTGCCGTGGTCTTTGGCTAGCCCCCATCCTGCCTTTATCTAGGGATCCCTACCACCAGTCATCTCATTGGCACACAAAAAGACACTCGTCGTTCCTGGAGAATTCCTGGAGATTCCAAGGGTCTTGTCAGGAAGCAGACACTAAGACCGAATACTGTAACAAAACATACTCCTGTCACCCCTGTGCGCAGGAGAGTACTAGGGTTTTAGGAGCTCTGTTTCAGGAACCTGGGGTAGAGACCAAATACATATTTCTTTTTATGTCACACTGACCGTTGGGGATCCGGGCTCAGTTTGCTTAGAAGATGCAAAGGAAACAGTGGTTCGGGAATTAGGAGACTTAGAAACAGAACTGCGTGAAGAGGCTTTAAGGATCCTTCTGATATCTTATCTCCTTCCTGATACAAAATCCCTTGGGAGGACAAGGCGGGAGGATTGCTTGAAGCCAGGAGTTTGAGACCAGCATAAACATCTACAGGCAATCTCCTCTCTAAAAAAACATTCCTGCCAACAGCTTGATGGTGTTGGGTATAACAACTCCAGCTCCTGTTTGAATGTTCCCAGCAGTGAGGAGCTCATTACGTGTGAGGCAGTCCACTTTCTGACGGCTCTGATACTGAGAAAGTCTGTCCTGCGTTAATATAAAAACAGCTTACCTGGAACATCTACCTGTTGGTTCTAGTTTTACCTTCTAGAGCCATCCAGAATGACTTATCTCTTCTAACTTTTTTGAGGCTTGGATAGGATGATCTCCGATGGTGCTTCCAATGTGGTGTTCTAAGGTGTCCCACCACCTATGGGGAATCTGGCGAGGGCGGGGGTGATCACACCTGATGAGAACCTCCCAGGCTCACGTCTCTTCTTGTACTGGGTAGAGAAGGTATATTTTTCCCTTGCTTCAACCTCCCGTCTTTATCCCCAGAGCTGCTACCCTGGAAAAGGAAGTGGCCGGGTTGCGGCAGAAGATCCACCACTTGGATGACATGCTCAAGAGCCAGCAGCGGAAAGTGCGGCAAATGATAGAGCAGGTAAGGGGGGTCAGGTCTCAGCCTGCCCTGGGTTGTTACTGCCAGTCTATGCTTTTATTTATTTATTCTCCCAGGGAGCTTGGCTTATATTCCTGCGTTTCCCATGAAACATTTACAGGTTTGGGTTACTGGGACTTGCTTTTCTTCCATCTTTCTCCTACTTTTTTGGCCATTTGGCTTCTGCTTTCTAGAAGGAAAGGAAGGAAAAGATTAGTCTCCCTTATACACTGAAAAGTGCTGGTAAATGAGTAATTGAGTCATCGTAACTCCGTTATCTGCTTGCAGATTATCAGTCTTCCTCCCTCATGGCAGATTTCCTGTGCTTCCCCACCTGAGCTGTAGGGTAGTGCATTCAGTATATGCCCATTTGCAGAACTGTGTTGAGAACTTAACATCCCCTAATTGGGAAGGCG